GCTGTTGGAGGACTATCATTACCAATTGGATGCTTAATGGGATTTATTGTTCCAGCACTATATTTTGGAGGAAACGGAAACAAACAAGAGGCTTTTAAGAAGTATATTTTGGTTCAGAATATCATAGTAACTGCTCTATCTGTGCCAATATTGCTAGCAGCAAGAGAAAAACCGCCTCATCCACCATCGTAATAAAATACATATTAAAATATTAATTTAGTTTATCAGCAACTATAAAAGAACCAAAAATGAATTTATGGAAAGAGTTAAGATTATTGTTAAACAACAAGAGCTATATGCTACTGTGCTATTCATTATTTCTAATGAATTCATTATTCACTACTTTAGGATCAGTAATCAGCACCTTAACTAAGCCTTCTGGATACAAGCCTATTGATAATAGCATATTTGGTGGGGTTTTCATTCTCTTCGGATTGATTGGATCTGTTATTTTTGGAATATTACTTGATAAGTATGGCAAGTATAAACTTACCACAAACATTATTTCACTCGCAGTTAGTGTAGCTGTAGCTCTCACATTTTGGACTCTTCCATCTTAAAACACCTTTCTTTTATCAGCTAATAATGGGATGATAGGATTCTTTTTAACTCCAATGCTCTCAACCAGTTATACATTTGCTGTAGAGCTAACTTTTCCTGTACCGGAATCCATCTCAAATGGAATGATGGTAATGGTTTCATAAATCTATGGATCAGCTATTGTAAGCAATTATATTGACTTTTTAATATGATTTAGGGTATCATGACATCTTTCATAATCTCTAAATATGATAAAATCGGAATAATATTTATAACGGGAGTATTCTTGCTCTCCTCTGTGATAAGCCTGATATGCAGCTATTTTATAAAAGAAGAATTAAAGAGAATGAAGCCTTAAATTGATATGAAATAAGATAATCAATAATTAATTGATTCAAAGGATTAGTCAATTTCTTATCAACAAGATACTTCTCAATGATATATAGGAGAGAGGAAATTCATTAAATTTTGATAATTCCTCAATTCAAATAATGGAACTAATAAAAATCCATTGAAATTATGTTTGAAAAATAAAAGATAATTGAGAGTGATTTTATTATATTAGATTATCTAAAATCATTTCTAATCATGTAGAGTGGGGTTTTGGGGTTTTGGGG